CAGGAGTCTGGGCACATGAAGCCCCTGATGAACCCGAATTCGAGCCCATACCCAGGTCAGATTCCCTTTTCCAAAAACTGCACCCCCCAAAGCCTCCGTGAGCCGCCTGTCGATGGTACGTTAATTTCAATTTGATTTCCGTTTCGAGGGAGATGGGGAGGAAGGGGGCACGTTCGACTGAACGTCTGAGCAACAATTATACGGCAACTTCATTAGGTCAACATGCGGCATTACTGGAACTATGGATCTGGCGAGAGGGTGGCAATGGCTGAGGGGCGGGATCGCTGGTTTGCGGCTTACGCAATGCCCTCGATGAGGATGGCGATGATGATGGGGGCGGATGCGCAAGGGGTAGATTAATCAGGGTAAAACTATTAATTAAATACCAATTCATTTCCGCAAATTCAAAGCGCACACACCCACACACGGCCATCCAACCATCCATCCATCCATTCACCAATCCACAGATGTGGTCCTTTGTGTGGGCTCTGGCTGGATTTTCATTCCAGCAAGAACATTTACCCGCAATGAGCAACGTGATGGCAGCCTTGATTTCGGTTTGAGTTTAGATTTCGATTCGGTAGTGGCTCTGATATTGCGTGTCAGGTGGGCCAAGATGTTTGTGGTTCTCGGCTATGCAATAAATTAAAATACCTTCCATTAGTTATTTCACTAGTTAAACAATTTTAGTTTTATCTAATGCTCAATTTCAGCTAATATATTTATTTTATTTGTATAATTCCCATCTAAAATTGAAGTAATAAAAATCCTATGCCCATTATATTGCATTTTTAATAGCAAACCCATTTAGCATTAAATTACTCCTATCAGGAAGCCATAAATAGCCGTCAAAAACCGCGCCATCCTCCTCCATCAAATGTGACAATTTCAGCGTATCTAACGTTCAAAACGGTGAGTTTTGCCCCAAAGCGAAAATGAACCAAACAAAAAACAGCGTAATGCAGATGAACGGGGAAGTACGGCAACAAAAAATCGTCATAATAAAATCCCCAGGCTTATCAGTAAGCGCAGCAGTCAGGGTATTAGCAAAAAACAAAAAAAAAACACAGAGAGCAAAAGCCCGAGGTGGAGAAAATGATATACCCCAGAAAGATCTCGGAACGGAGAGCGGGTGCTCGAGCTTTGCTCATCCGGTGTGTCAACAATTCCCAAGCTTCAACGCTTTGATGTTCGCCAGGCAAAGGGACCTCGGCCACGCCCACCAGCAGTCCCACGCCCGCGCCAAAAACCGTGATGAGCAGACGGACGGAGCCACTAAGCCCAGACAGTGTCATCCACTCTGACGGTGATGGCATCATTAACGCATATTCCGGGCTGCCTTTCGGGCACAACCAGACACCCGGATCCGGGATCTGGGTTCCGGGGAACCGGGGATCCGAGGTTCGAGGTTCACTCCGTTTCCGGCTTTTGAAGTTCGAGCGGCAAGCTTTTAATTTTCTTTGTTTTCACACTGACGTTTGAGGCCAAAAGGCGTAAATTAATCGAAGGCTTAATTAGTACACACCAGCCAAGGACTCCCGACGATGGCTCGTTGAGCCGGCGTCAACGTGGCGTATGATTAATAAACAGCTCCCTGGCGGATAAATTCCCCTCGCTGCGATTCACCATTCACCGCTCACCCGATTTGTGTTTTTGTGTTCACTAATTATAGGCATCAATGAAGGTGAAGGTTGTCAATATCGCCGCCACAGCCACCGGCACACGGGAGGGAGCAAAATTTCCATTTGAAATGTTTTGTAGGTTGTGAAAACAATGGCCTGCCTCCGACGAGGTAATCCTACAGCACCACCCACTCCGCGTCCGCTTTTCTTTTCTGTTTTCCGTTCTCTTTTTTTTTTTTTTTGCACGAGTACTGCGGCAACGTAGTTGGCTGCCACTTAATGTGTTTTGCATACTAATTAGGTTGTTTGGCGGCTGCCGTCACATTTCAAGTGTTGAAACAGGTGACAGAAAAAAAAATACAAAAACGACATTGCGACCAGCAGCAAAACGCAACTCGTTGCTGCAACAGAACCAACTGCACTTCAGGCTAACACTTTTGAGCTGCAGCCAAGGAAAATGGCAATTGTTTAGATTGGGCTTAAGTAGTTGGGGAATGCGCTACTTGGGAGGAAAGTAACATTTTCAAAGAAAGGAAATTTCCAGTTACTGTAATAATTTTTAATAATAATCGCATGATTAAAAACAAAGTTAGCGTTAAAAAAACAGATTTCTTAAAAGTTAGCTGAGCTCGCTAGAAAACAAATTTAATCAGAGAATGTGTGATTAAAAACACTAAGTTAATCGCCTTCTCGATTAGTTTTAATTCAAGAATTCACGCGTTTCCGCTGGCTTATCAGTCTATTCAACAGGCGCACACTTTAATTACAATATAATTCTATTTAAGTGTGTCATTAGGACTATCAATCAATGATTAAGAGAGGCTATAAATTCTGACAATTAAGAGTACTTTCCGTTTTGTTTACCTAATTGATAAGGAAAAGCAAAATGTGTAGATTAGGTTTTTCTAGTGGCATAAAACCGGTATAGATTAGGGGCCAAATTTAAATATCGTTCGCTTCGTAAGATTATAAATTTTAGAGGGTTAAAAAGTATTACTCAAGTGCTCGAGTAGCAGTTCTGAGGTCTGACATGCCGCAACCTAAGCTCATCTGCAATTTTTGCCTTTTAATTTCAAAGGCAGATGACTTTCCGTGAAAGTGCGGCACTGACTTGTAAGAAGCGCGTTGCTCAAAAACAACTAGAACATAAACAGCAGAGGAGGGGAGACGCAAAGTGAAAAATGTTTTAATTACTCATCTCAAGGCGAATCCGCCGTCTGCCGCCCCAACGCCCCTGATGATTGACGTTCTGAAGGGTTGTTGGGGGAGGTCAGCGATGAAACTAAATTCATTAAATTAAATAAGTTTGTGAATATATATTTTGAGTTTTAGCCATATCAAGTGAGCAATTCAAAGCACCGGAAAATTTAAAGTGTGAAACTAAATATTTTTCAAATTAAAAGTTATTTTTAACTTAAATGTTTTATTAATACGCTAATAATTTTCAAACCCATTTTATTGTTTTTTTTTTTTTGTCTACAAATTGTTTAATATATTTCTTTCTGTGCTTTAAACTTTGAGATTAGCTGCAGTAGAATTGGCCAAGTTCTTCTCGCAATTGTTGCTGGAACACTCGAATGCCTCCATTCTGATATTTTCTCCCCGGTCGCCGCTGTTGTGTGCTAAATAGTTCCCCCAGGGCCGAATCCACTCGAGTCGTGCTAATGAGAACACCCCAGTGACAACGAGACGCTCACAAGGACGAGCGAGTTCAGACGCCAAAGGATGGTTCTAATGCATCGTGCTGCATTATGCAAATACTCGAGCAGGGCGAAACAACATTTTACTGCAGTGCCGTAGAGTGGAGTGGAGTGGATCCTGCCAAGAACGGAATAAGAAGGTGTGCAGATCCTTAGCCAGGACCTGCGGCAATGCAGCGTGCTCCATTTGCACACATTTCGACAGGGCAATTAATTATGCTAAATTCGTTTAGAGAAAGGCAGCAGCACCATAAAAAAGAAATATCACCATTTGCATTGTTAATTGTTCTGTACCTTTATCATACAAAAACAATAATTTATAAATGATATATAAAATTGTGTGTTTGTATCGAGACTAAATAAATAAAAACCGCATCGAAATCTAAGAAAATCAAAAGCCCATTAATCTTTCTTGTATCCGTTTATCGCTCGAAGAGCTTCGTAATTCATCCCTGAAATTTGATGTGGCGCCCGGAACCACCTTTGACCAGCGCATTGGATGACTTTCAAGTGGGTCTGAGGCAGAGCAGTGGGGTCCTGACATTTGCGCTGGCCATGCGCAATTAATTACAAAAGTGTTTGCGGACAAATGCCGCACGACAAGAAGTGTGAGGTGGTTCGCAGGACACGTGAACCCCAGCTGGACATGGCCATGAGGAAGTCCAGCACTTCTTTTTGCCAGCTAACGCAGCTAGGCAGGGTTTGTGTGGCTCAAGTGGTCCAGAGACCGAGAGAAGCGGCAGCTCTTTGCTTTGAGGTTATTTGCTTTTAATGACTCGCAAACTACACCCGCGCACAGGGCGTATGCGTCATGTGTGCGGACTGCTTAAGTGTTTTCAGATATCGCGCATCAGTGGCCAACGACAGCCAGCCCTGGGTGCCATGGTTTGTTGACTTTTAGACGCTGTTTGTTTGTCAGCACAATTTTGTTTTCATTTTTCCCCCCATTCGTTTTTTTTTTGTACTTTTTGGCTTTTCATCTTGGCATCGGCGCAGACAAGCAGCCACATAAATGAGCTTTGAAGTTTGCATACGCGAGTGCAGGCAGTGCAGTCACACTGGCTGAAGGGATAATGCGACGCAATTATAGACTGAGCCTGGGACTACGGCTACCCCAACCCGCTTATATCCTTGAAAATAAATTGTTTTGTTAATTATTTATGGTTGGTTTAATGAGTGTGTGCCGAACTCAGTGTGTGTTTACTGTACTCACTGTTCAGTGCTCTCTGGCGTTCTGGCTCTGGTCTCATCGGCTGGGACGTCGACTTGCATGAGCTTGTTATACTTTTGCATTTTGCAATTATTTTAATGAGTTTTGCATTTAAGCGATTTTATGCAATCGTCGCCATTCGCAATAGTGTTGGGCGCCAAAAGGGATATGTGCATACGAAATGCAAATGTGCAGCATAATTGCCGTTTTTGCTTCATTAAAAAATATGTCTTTGTATGGTCGGCAGACTCATTAAAAGTTGAATAAGTTTTACCTCATTGGGCTCGTCCCGGTCTCTCATTTGTGCATTGGATTTGGCTTGATCAACGATAAATAAAATTCGTATTTTAACTTTATTTAATTAACTTGTTTTAAATTTATTAAGCAAAAAATGTAAACCTCAGTTTCAAGGCAACTTTCAGTTTTCTTTCATTTCCATTTTCGGGTGTAAGAAAAAGTTGAAAATACTAAATACGTACTTAAAGATACCAAAATTGCTTGTGAGTAGCAGAAATAATATACAGACTATGGAAGCACTCTTGGATATGGGAGACCCCTATATGTGTATCATTGGCTTACCGGCTGATCTTCACCGCCACTGGACATCTATTGGAAATTTTCTGAGTCAGGAAGAGAACGGTGAGCCCCAGAATGAGCCTAACTTAGAGGGAGTGACAATGCAGCCCGAAGAAGACATTATAGACTTGGAAGTGGTGCCCTTGACACAAATTGATCCCGAAGAACCGAGCTTTGACCTTTCCGCTGCCGGCGATGGACCCCATATCATTCCCCAGACCGCCGAGATTGGGAACCCGGCTTTAATCATCTTTCGGCCGAGAAGAGGGTCAGTACTCCGAGTCCCGTGGTTCAGCTTAGAGCGCCTGATGCCGGTGATCATTACGGTCTCTAGTGTTCTTTTCAAAAAGATACTGGACCTATTTGGCATTGATATAAGTCAAGTCTTTGCCCTCGGCCTGTCTTACAATGCCCACATCATAATATTTCAGTGCGTGATTAGCTTTGCCTCCTACTGGATAAAGGATTTTTTCAGTGCCCAAAATAGTTTATAATTAAAGTTTTGTGGGTTTTTACATGTGCAGAATTAAATAAAGAAGAAGTAAGAAGAACTTTAATTGTTTTAAAGATCCACTGTGGGAAATTTCTTTCCAATCAAAAGCAAAAGTCTTAAATTATTGCGATTAGCGATTAATAGTGGGCAATTATGATAAGAAATTCACAACTCTTCCATGTGGTCCTAATATTCAAAACACTTCCCTCAAGGTAATCAGGCACTCATGGTTGCCTGAAGGGCTAATAAAAATGCTAAAATAGACCTTTGGGCCCCCTGGTATTAGCGCCCCGTTTGGGGTCTGAATTGCCCCAATCTGCATGAAATAATTGCCAACTCTACGCTTTAGTACAAATTCATAAACATTGTATAAGAAGTACCATCGCGTAATCGTCAATGGGAACTCATTTTACTAATCGCAAGGCAGCGATTAGAACCAATCAAGATACCAATTAAGATATGCATTGACTGGCGATCGCGAATACACTGAACTTGAACTTCGTGGTGGGAGTATCAGCATTTCCCAAAGCTTATGGTTATCAGTAAGCCGTTTTATTGACCCTAAGCCTAAGCACAAGCCTCTTGAGGGTCTAGAGTGATTGCTTATCGAGCCGACTCCATGTGGGGCTCTCCTATAAAAGCAGTGCAAATTTTCTAAGGAAAGTCAGTTCTGTGCTCGAATCGAAACTGTCTGCAGTTCGAAAAGAAAGTGAAAAATCGTCGCCATGAAATATCTGTGCGGCATTGTGCTCTTTGTCGCCCTTTTGGCCCTCAGTGTGAGGCCATCTGAGGAGGCTTGTGGTTACGAGGTGAGAAGTGAAAGCCATTATTAGGCCAGCCAGATATTATTCGCCGGGTTGAAGTCCATTCTATTTCGGGATTAATATCTCATAACATTGCCTAAGAAACCACTAAATATTCATAAATTCGTTACAGGCATGCCCCAAAACGAAGACGAACATGATCAACATTCACATGGTTCCCCACTCTCATGACGATGTCGGCTGGCTGAAGACCGTTGATCAGTACTTCTATGGCCACAGGAGCAACATTCAGCACGCTGGTGTTCAGTACATCATCGACACCGTGATCGCTGAGCTGATCAAGGACCCTGCCCGTCGCTTCATCCAGGTGGAGACCTCCTTCTTCGCCAAGTGGTGGTCGGAGCAATCGGAGACTGCCAAGCAGATCGTGAAGAAGCTGGTCAACGAGGGTCGCCTGGAGTTCACCGGCGGAGCTTGGAGCATGAACGATGAGGCTGCCGTCAACTACCAGAGTGTGATCGATCAGTTCACCCTGGGATTAAAGTAAGTGCTGGAAAATAATGAAGTGTTAAATCAGGTTATTTATGGCTAATTAACTAGGTTCTTGGACGACACCTTCGGCTCCTGCGCCCGTCCCCGCATCGGCTGGCAGATCGATCCCTTCGGTCATTCCCGTGAGCAGGCCTCGATCTTCGCTCAGATGGGATTTGACGGAGAGTTCTTCGCCCGCATGGATCACCGCGACAAGAACAACCGCATCGACAACTTGGGCATGGAAATGATCTGGGATGCCAGTGATTCGCTGAGCAACGATGAGATCTTCACTGGCCTGCTGTACCGTCACTACTCCGCTCCCCCCGGCTACTGCTTCGATGTGCACTGCGGTGACGATCCGATCATTGACACCAAGAGCTACGACAACAATGTCAAGTCCCGGGTGGATGACTTCCTCAGCTACGTGACGGAGGTGGCCAAGCACTACCGGTCCAACCACATCATGATCCCCATGGGTGATGACTTCCAGTACGAAGATGCTCAGGTCAACTTCAAGAACATGGACAAGCTGATCAAGTACGTTAACGCTCGTCAGGCTGAGGGCTCCACCTTCAACCTGTTCTACTCGACCCCTGCCTGCTACCTGAACTCCGTGCACGAAGGTCTCCAGACCTGGCCCAACAAGACCGAGGACTTCTTCCCCTACGGAAGTGACGACAACAGCTACTGGACCGGCTACTTCACCTCCCGTCCCACCCAGAAGCGTTTCGAGCGCGATGGCAACCACATCCTGCAGGTGGCCAAGCAACTGAGTGTCTTCGCCGAGCTGACCGGCGAGCAGCAGAAGGAAGATCTGGAGTACCTCCGCGAGATTATGGGTGTGATGCAGCACCACGATGCCATTACGGGCACGGAGAAGCAGCATGTGTCCGATGACTACGATCGCATCTTGTACGACGCCATCTTGGGAGGTACTAAGACTGCCGCCGATGGTCTGCGCAAGGTGACCAATATGCCCAATGGAGAGTTCGAGAGCTGCCTGCAGTTGAACATCAGTGAGTGCGCCTTCACCAAGGACAGTGCCGACAACGTGGTGGTGACCCTGTACAATCCCCTGGCCCACACTTCCTCCCAGTATGTGCGAGTGCCTGTCAAGAACGAGAACTACCAGGTGACCGATGAGAAGGGTCGTGTGGTGGCTTCGGAAGTTGTCCCAGTGGCCTGGCAGGTCCTGGCCCTGGAGTTCCGAAACAACGATACTCAGCATGAGCTGGTCTTCAAGGCTTCCGTCGATACCATCGCTAACTACTACATCAAGAAGGTCGATTCTCAGGAAAGCAGGAATACTGCTGTGCACACTAAGGCCAAGAGGTCCGTCAAGACTGAGGAATCTAACTTGGAGGCGACCAAGCGCTTCAAGAAGGCTCTCTCCGCGAAGAACTCTACTCAGACCTTCGACGACGAGGATGGAGAAACTGTGGTGCAGACCTCGGTAAGATCTCGTAAGTCACTCATCTCAGGGACCAAACTAACATTCTGCTTTTTACCTTCATTAGCAAGTCAAACTGGTGATCGACAACAAATCTGGTCTGCTGAAGACCGTCGAAATGAACGGAGTCTCTGAGAACATCGACCAGAGCTATGGTGTCTACAGGACCTACGATTCTGGCGCCTATGTCTTCCGTCAATACCACCAGGCCGACTTCATCGTACAGTATGAAGGCGTCGAGTTCACCGTTTACGATGGCGCTCTGGTCAAGGAAGTCCACCAGCAGTTCAGCGAATATGTCTCCCAGGTCATCCGCATCTACGAGGGTCAGTCCCGCGTGGAGTTCGAGTGGCAGGTGGGACCCATTGAGAGGGAAGAGGAGTTCGGCAGGGAAGTGGTCATCATCTTCAACAGTACCATTGCCTCCGATGGCGTTTCCTACACCGACTCCAATGGTCGCGAGATGATCAAGCGCGTGAAGGACCAGCGTGAGGACTTCACCCCCGGTCTGGACAGGCAGCCCACTGCCGCCAACTACTACCCCATCACATCCCGCATTGCCCTGCAGGACAGCAACAAGCGTATTGCCCTCCTGAACGATCGTGCTCAGGGAGGAGCCAGCATGATCAACGGACAGTTGGAGCTCATGTTGCACCGCCGTCTGGTCCGCGACGATGGCTACGGAGTGGGTGAGGCCTTGAACGAGGAGAAGTACGGCCAGCCCATGATTGCCCGTGGTAAGGTCTACCTGATCCTCAACGCTGCCGACGAGTCCACCGCCGTGGAGCGCGAAGCCGAGAAGGAAATCCACCTGCCCTTCTGGAAGTTCTTCAGCAAGAACACTGGAAGCACCACCGCTGCTGCCAAATCGGTTCCCAGCTTCGATGACTTCCCCAAGTCGGTGCATCTGCTCACCCTGGAGCCTTTCAACGACGACGAGGTTCTGCTGCGTGTCGAGAACTTCTTGGACCACACCGAGGGCAAAGTGGTTAGCTTCAACATTCGCCCGATCTTCGACTATTTGAACGGATTGGAAATTCGCGAAACCACCTTGGACGGCAACCTGCCATTGAAGGATATGAAGCGCTTCAAGTTCCACCACGATAGCTCTGGACACAGGCCCGAAGAAGTCGAGTACTACACTGCTGCCCACAAGCCCTTGGCCGCTGAGAAGTCTCAGGAAGCATCCGAGTTCAGCGTCACCCTGCACCCAATGCAGATCCGTACTTTCATTATTAAGACCGAGTAAAGCTCAGTTCTCAAAACAGTATTTCAAGAAATGTAAATATTTAACTGAATAAATTCAATGTAAAAAAAATATGCGGTTTATTTTTGGAATATATTTGTATGTTGAACTGGAAGTTTCTATTTCAATAGATGGGAAAAAACAATTGTGTTGACCCACAATAATGAAATCGTAAAGAAAAGACAATACAATTGGAAAACATCCAAACAATCGGCCTGAAAGTTCTTTTACTGTTTCTATACCTGATCGGAAGTAATGAACATATTTTCCCTTAGATTTTGTATGTCTAACGTTGAGGAAAATTTTGCAACAATCAATATTTGCAAGTTAAAATTTATTCATACCAAGTAATTTCCCTGCTCGGGCGCCAAGTGACCAGTTCGAGTTTTCTCAAGCTCTTTGATTCGATCGAAAATGGCAAAGCAATTTACAGGCTCTTGTAACTTCTTTCGATTACGATAGTCATCATACATTCATCATCATACAGTTTTAAGCAGTATCTTAAGAATTAAAGACACGTTCGACATTGGCGGGGAAGGGGGGTAGAATCTTCATTTTTTTTAAATTTTTTTTCTTGTAGAATAACATCTTAATATTAGACAAAAAAAGTTTTAAGTCAATGCTAAAATTAATACCCTAACATCTAAGACTTTAGGTATGTAAGTGCATCTTTAAGTGTGCTCTTCTCGAAACCACGTTTCGAAAGTCCGTGTTCATCGGCATTTATAAACGGCTTTACCGATCGTTTTCTGGGAAGCGTTTTTTTCAATTTTTTTACTTGAAATATTTTTTTTAAAGCCGAAAGTCACATTTTTTACGTGAAAAACGCATTTTTGACTTTGGAATCTGGAAAAACATTTTCAAAAATAAAAAATTAAAAAAAGATTTTATTGAAATATTTCATATATGCTGTTCGTCTGGTTGGATTTCTTGTTGTTAAGTACTCCAACTGACCCGTTTTAAAAGAATTATTATTAGTTGATAATGATGATTAGCTATTAATTCAAAGTCACAGTCAAACAACAATATTCCTGTTGCCGTGCGCTATCCAGGTCATTATAAGTGTTTTGTTGGCTTAGGCTTATTTTATCGTTAGCCTTGGTACTTCACTGTATCTCATCACTTGCACTTTGCGTGGGGCTTTCGATTTCCGATTTAAACGTAATCAGTATTCTTTTATGGCCTGTATTACTTAATGATAACTTCCAGTACAAATCAATAAACATTGTTAGTATGCATTCGATCATTAAAAATTGATTTGACTAATCAGCAGATAAGCGCTGCAGCTCTTAAAACAAGAGCAACCATTTATAGAGGCTTGTTAAGATAAAAACTTGACAATGAACAACAAATAGTACCTATCAGGTTATTATTGAAATTATGAAACGTGTTTCAAAGAGTAATCATTATTAACTAATTATCGTTGAAATATACCTAATTGAATTTTAAGCATGCTTGAGTTTGCCTAATCCTAGATAGGCTCAAGTACCGATTGGTTATCAGCAATCTTTGATATAAATAGGACTGTTTACGAAAAGGAAGAAGTCAGTTGTATGTCAGAGTAGGAACCATTCGTTACATCCAGTTAGAAGGCCGAAGAACTTTACAATGAAGTATCTGGGATTCGTCCTTTGCTTAGCCTTATTGGCATTCCAAGCAAAGTCCGCCCAAGCTGTTTGTGGCTACGAGGTAAGGAAAAAAAAAGATTCTAGGACATTCAAGTATTTTTTATTTTTCATGGAAAAGAAATAACAAAATAGATATGTGTTTGCAGTCATGTCATGAAACCAAGTCAAACATGGTGAACATCCACTTGGTTCCCCATTCCCACGATGATGTCGGCTGGCTAAAGACGGTTGATCAGTACTTCTATGGTCACAAGAACAACATTCAGCACGCCGGAGTCCAGTACATTATCGACACCGTGATCTCTGAACTGATCAAGAACCCGGATCGTCGCTTCATCCAGGTGGAGACCTCCTTCTTCTCCAAGTGGTGGGACGAGCAGTCGGAGACCGTCAGGGCAATTGTGAAAAAGCTGGTCAACGAGGGTCGCCTTCAGTTTACAAACGGAGCCTGGAGCATGAACGATGAGGCTGCCGTGAACTACCAGAGTGTGATCGATCAGTTTACAGTTGGTTTGAAGTAAGTAAAGGCGGTTCTGTATCGCGGGTGCACTATTTTAACCACACCTTTTGGAAAAAGGTTCCTGGATGATACCTTCGGTGTATGCGGTCGTCCTCGTGTCGGCTGGCAAATCGATCCCTTCGGCCACTCCCGTGAACAGGCTTCACTGTACGCCCAGATGGGATACGATGGCGAGTTCTTTTCACGCATGGATCACAACGACAAGGGCAGACGGATGAATGATCTTGCTCTAGAAATGGTTTGGGATGCCAGTGAGTCACTGAGTGATGTCAAGCTCTTCACCGGACTACTGTACACCTTCTACTGGGATACCCCCGGATTTTGCTTCGATGTTCACTGCAGCGACGATCCAATTATTGACAGCGACAGTTACGACAACAATGTCAAGTCCAGGGTGGATGACTTCATTGCCTACGCCGCTCAAGTGGCCGAAAAGTTCCGCACGAACCACATCATGATTCCCATGGGTGGAGACTTCCAGTACGAAGATGCTGAGGTGAACTTTAAGAACATGGACAAACTGATCAAGTAAGGGGAGGTCCGGTTTCTCAAAAAGATAAATTTATCAAAACTGTTTAAATCTTTTTACTAGGTACATCAACGAGCGTCAATCCAGTGGTTCTAAGTACAACATATTCTACTCAACACCCGGTTGCTACTTGAACTCTGTGCACAAGAGTGTGCAGTCCTACCCAAACAAAACTCTTGATTTCTTCCCATATGGAAGTGATTCAAACAGCTTCTGGACTGGTTATTACACCTCTCGTCCCACACAAAAGCGATTTGAGCGCGATGGAAACCACATTCTTCAGGTTGCCAAACAGCTTAGTGCCTTCGCAGGGCTTTCGAGTACTCAGCAGAAGGAGGATCTTGAGTACCTCCGCCAGATCATGGGAGTAATGCAACATCACGATGCCATTACGGGCACTGAGAAACAGCATGTGTCCGATGACTACGATCGGCTTTTGTACGACGCCATCCTCGGTGGTACTAAAACTGCCGCCGATGGTCTGCGCAAGGTGACCAACCTGCCCAATGGAGAGTTCCACAGTTGTCTCCAATTGAACATCAGCGAGTGCGCCTTCACCAAGGACAGTGCGGATAACGTGGTGGTGACCCTGTACAACCCACTGGCCCACACCACCAACCAGTATGTGAGAGTCCCTGTGAAGAATGAGAACTACCAGGTTACCGATGAGAAGGGTCGCGTGGTGGCCTCGGAAGTGGTCCCACTTCCCTGGGAGGTCCTGGCCCTGGAGTTCCGTAACAACGACACTCAGCATGAGTTGGTCTTCAAGGCTTCCGTTAACAAGATCGCTAGCTACTACATCAAGAAGGTTGACAGCAAGGAGAGCACTGATACCGTTCTTACCACTCCTCAAAAGAAGACTGGAGCTGAAACCTACGATGACGAAGAAACTGTTGTGCAGACATCGGTAAGTCTCTATTACATTTTATAAGGAAACACTTTCAATTAACTTTGCCTATAATTAGCTTATTAAACTGGTGCTGGACAACAAAACAGGCTTATTGAAGAGGGTTGAAATGAACGGAGTCTCCGAGAACATCGATCAGAGCTATGGTAATTATAGGACCTATGACTCCGGTGCCTACGTCTTCCGTCAATACAACCAAGGAGACTTTGTAATCCAGGAAGATGGAGTCGAGTTTACTGTCTACGATGGAGCTTTAGTCAAGGAGGTCCACCAGCATTTCAACGACTACATCTCTCAGGTCATCCGTATTTATGAGAACAAAAATGTTGTGGAGTTCGAGTGGCTGGTTGGCCCCATTCCAATTGAAGAAGAGTTTGGTACGGAGGTAGTCATGACATTCACCAGTGAAATCGCTTCCAATGGCGTCTTTTACACTGATTCCAATGGTCGTGAGTTGATTAGACGAGAAAAGGATAAGCGAGAGGACTTCGACCCAGAATTGGCAGTGCAGCCTACTTCCGGAAACTACTATCCCATTACATCCCGCATTGCTTTGCAAGACAGTAACAAGCGCATCGCCGTCCTGAACGATCGTGCTCAGGGAGGATCTAGCATGAAGGATGGGCAAATAGAACTCATGTTGCATCGTCGTCTAGTCCGTGATGATGGATACGGAGTAGATGAGACCTTGAACGAGCAGAAATATGGCCAGCCCTTGATTGCTCGTGGTAAGGTCTTCCTAATCCTCAATGCTGCGGATGAGTCCACGTCCGCGGAGCGCGAGGCCGAGAAGGAGTTCCACCTGCCCCTTTGGAAGTTCTTCAGCCAGAACAGTGGAAGTAGCAGCTCCGCTGCCAAGGCGGTTCCCAGTTTTGACGACTTCCCCCAGTCGGTGCACCTTCTTACTCTGGAACCTTTCAACGATGATGAGGTTCTGCTGCGTGTGGAGAACTTCAAGGATCACATTGAAGGCAAAGTGGTTAGCTTCAACATTCGCCCGATCTTTGACTATTTGAACGGATTGGAAATTCGCGAAACCACCTTGGATGGAAGTCTTCCACTTAGCGACTTGAAGCGATTCAAGTTCCACTCTGAGGGCTCGGGGGCAAGAGGATCAGAACCTGAGTATTACACCTCTTCTCACAAGCCCCTTTCAGCAAATCAGACGCAGGATGCCTCCGAATTTGCTGTGACCTTGTACCCAATGCAGATTCGAACTTTTATTATTAAGCATGATTAAATGTATTCAAATGTATTAGTTGTTAAACAATCAAAGAAATACAGAAAATGATATTGAATTAAAACATGTTTAGCCAGTATTTCCTGGTAGATAGAAAACGCTCTAGACATTAAGTAAAATGGGTTAAGAAAACTAATATCTAGTGCACACTAATCTGAAAAACCCATCAATTTGAAAATAAGGAGGTAACCCTTTCTAAATCATTGCAACATATTTTTAATGGTTTTTTGTAGTGCGAAGATTCCCACATTTTCACGGTCCATAATCTGCGAAAGGAACAGATGCCCGAAACCAACTCCATAAAATCTAAACCTGTAATCTCCAAAAAGAACAGATGCAATACAAAAACAGAGCATAGCAAATATAAATCAAAAGTAGGTTAGAAACTTAGAACCTTGACATTGGATGACAAACAGCCCTGAAAGATAAAATATAGACAAAAAAATTGAATTGAGCCATAGGAATATTATGTATATATAAAACATAAAACTATTGCAATTAATTCTGGTAATATTTATTTGTATAACTCTGAACTTCCGAATTCGACTGTACTTAAAAAGTCATAACGATCAGATAATAATCATAAGCATAATCATAATCGCAAATATGACATAGAACTTCAAGTGTGGCCTATCTCTACAGCTCCGTGAAACCTTTTATGCATACATTCAACTTACATTCGGGATTGTCACAAATTTTATTTTTGTTGCCGAGCGAAGCAGTTCCACATAATTGACATCATTGTAATAATCGGCACTTTACTGTATCTGGTCACTTGCGCTTTGCGTGGGGCTTTTAATTTTCCACTTCAACTTTACCATTGTCCTCTTGATAGAAAACGATCACTTCCAGTACAAATCCATAAACATTATACCCAACATTTAAAAACAATTCTAATATGCAATCGCCTATTCAAATCGTTAACTAATCTACAGATAAGCACTGCAACTCTATCAAAACAGAAGCAGCTCATTAAGATATTGGTTTTGATAATGACCAATAGTTCCAAAATGGTACCTTGTACATTTCCTATAGGTACATCATGGGTTTTAAAACGTAGTCGATATTCATAATTGTAGTTAAAAATACCTAATTGACTTTTAAGCATTTCTAATCCGCGATAGGCTCAAGGACCGATTACTTATCAACAATCTCAGAAACCCCCACAAGAGCTCCCTATATATAGCCTGTTTTGAATGTTAAAAGTTTAGTCGTCTTCATCGGCTTGAGAAAGTTGTTTCATCGAGTGGAAAGGACCAAAGATTTGACAATGAAATATACGGGACTCGTCCTTTGCTTAGCCTTATTGGCAGTCCAAGCAAAGTCAGCCCAAGCTGTTTGTGGCTACGAGGTAAGGAAAACGGCGGATTCTAGGAAATTTAGGAACTCCTCCTTCTCGATGAGACTAAAGTAACAAAATAAATATCGGTTTGCAGTCATGTCATGAAACCAAGTCAAACATGGTGAACATCCACTTGGTTCCCCATTCCCACGATGATGTCGGCTGGCTAAAGACGGTTGATCAGTACTTCTATGGTCACAAGAACAACATTCAGCACGCCGGAGTCCAGTACATTATCGACACCGTGATCTCTGAACTGATCAAGAACCCGGATCGTCGCTTCATCCAGGTGGAGACCTCCTTCTTCTCCAAGTGGTGGGACGAGCAGTCGGAGACCGTCAGGGCAATTGTGAAAAAGCTGGTCAACGAGGGTCGCCTTCAGTTTACAAACGGAGCCTGGAGCATGAACGATGAGGCTGCCGTGAACTACCAGAGTGTGATCGATCAGTTTACAGTTGGTTTGAAGTAAGTAAAGGCGGTTCTGTATCGCGGGTGCACTATTTTAACCACACCTTTTGGAAAAAGGTTCCTGGATGATACCTTCGGTGTATGCGGTCGTCCTCGTGTCGGCTGGCAAATCGATCCCTTCGGCCACTCCCGTGAACAGGCTTCACTGTACGCCCAGATGGGATACGATGGCGAGTTCTTTTCACGCATGGATCACAACGACAAGGGCAGACGGATGAATGATCTTGCTCTAGAAATGGTTTGGGATGCCAGTGAGTCACTGAGTGATGTCAAGCTCTTCACCGGACTACTGTACACCTTCTACTGGGATACCCCCGGATTTTGCTTCGATGTTCACTGCAGCGACGATCCAATTATTGACAGCGACAGTTACGACAACAATGTCAAGTCCAGGGTGGATGACTTCATTGCCTACGCCGCTCAAGTGGCCGAAAAGTTCCGCACGAACCACATCATGATTCCCATGGGTGGAGACTTCCAGTACGAAGATGCTGAGGTGAACTTTAAGAACATGGACAAACTGATCAAGTAAGGGGAGGTCCGGTTTCTCAAAAAGATAAATTTATCAAAACTGTTTAAATCTTTTTACTAGGTACATCAACGAGCGTCAATCCAGTGGTTCTAAGTACAACATATTCTACTCAACACCCGGTTGCTACTTGAACTCTGTGCACAAGAGTGTGCAGTCCTACCCAAACAAAACTCTTGATTTCTTCCCATATGGAAGTGATTCAAACAGCTTCTGGACTGGTTATTACACCTCTCGTCCCACACAAAAGCGATTTGAGCGCGATGGAAACCACATTCTTCAGGTTGCCAAACAGCTTAGTGCCTTCGCAGGGCTTTCGAGTACTCAGCAGAAGGAGGATCTTGAGTACCTCCGCCAGATCATGGGAGTAATGCAACATCACGATGCCATTACGGGCACTGAGAAACAGCATGTGTCCGATGACTACGATCGGCTTTTGTACGACGCCATCCTCGGTGGTACTAAAACTGCCGCCGATGGTCTGCGCAAGGTGACCAACCTGCCCAATGGAGAGTTCCACAGTTGTCTCCAATTGAACATCAGCGAGTGCGCCTTCACCAAGGACAGTGCGGATAACGTGGTGGTGACCCTGTACAACCCACTGGCCCACACCACCAACCAGTATGTGAGAGTCCCTGTGAAGAATGAGAACTACCAGGTTACCGATGAGAAGGGTCGCGTGGTGGCCTCGGAAGTGGTCCCACTTCCCTGGGAGGTCCTGGCCCTGGAGTTCCGTAACAACGACACTCAGCATGAGTTGGTCTTCAAGGCTTCCGTTAACAAGATCGCTAGCTACTACATCAAGAAGGTTGACAGCAAGGAGAGCACTGATACCGTTCTTACCACTCCTCAAAAGAAGACTGGATCTGAAACCTACGATGATGAAGAAACTGTTGTGCAGACATCGGTAAGTCACTATTACATTTTATAAGGAAACACTTTCAATTAACTTTGCCTATAATTAGCTTATTAAACTGGTGCTGGACAACAAAACAGGCTTATTGAAGAGGGTTGAAATGAACGGAGTCTCCGAGAACATCGATCAGAGCTATGGTAATTATAGGACCTATGACTCCGGTGCCTACGTCTTCCGTCAATACAACCAAGGAGACTTTGTAATCCAGGAAGATGGAGTCGAGTTTACTGTCTACGATGGAGCTTTAGTCAAGGAGGTCCACCAGCATTTCAACGACTACATCTCTCAGGTCATCCGTATTTATGAGAACAAAAATGTTGTGGAGTTCGAGTGGCTGGTTGGCCCCATTCCAATTGAAGAAGAGTTTGGTACGGAGGTAGTCATGACATTCACCAGTGAAATCGCTTCCAATGGCGTCTTTTACACTGATTCCAATGGTCGTGAGTTGATTAGACGAGAAAAGGATAAGCGAGAGGACTTCGACCCAGAATTGGCAGTGCAGCCTACTTCCGGAAACTACTATCCCATTACATCCCGCATTGCTTTGCAAGACAGTAACAAGCGCATCGCCGTCCTGAACGATCGTGCTCAGGGAGGATCTAGCATGAAGGATGGGCAAATAGAACTCATGTTGCATCGTCGTCTAGTCCGTGATGATGGATACGGAGTAGATGAGACCTTGAACGAGCAGAAATATGGCCAGCCCTTGATTGCTCGTGGTAAGGTCTTCCTAATCCTCAATGCTGCAGATGAGTCCACGTCCGCGGAGCGCGAGGCCGAGAAGGAGTTCCACCTGCCCCTTTGGAAGTTCTTCAGCCAGAACAGTGGAAGTAGCAGCTCCGCTGCCAAGGCGGTTCCCAGTTTTGACGACTTCCCCCAGTCGGTGCACCTTCTTACTCTGGAACCTTTCAACGATGATGAGGTTTTGCTGCGTGTGGAGAACTTTAAGGATCACATTGAAGGCAATGTGGTTAGCTTCAACATTCGCCCGATTTTCGATTACTTAAACGGGGTGGAAATTCGCGAAACCACCTTGGATGGAAGCCTGCCACTGAGCGACTTAAAGCGATTCAAGTTCCACTCTGAGGGGTCTGGAATTAGAGGATCAGAACCTGAGTATTACACCTCCGCCCACAAGCCCCTGTCAGCTGACGAGTCCCAGGACGCTTCGGAATTTGCCGTCACCTTGTACCCGATGCAAATCCGAACTTTCATTATTAAGATTAAATAAGTTTAATTTGATTTAACTGTTTGAGTTATTATAAATGCAATTTGATATAACAGAAATATATTTTGGAAAAAGTAAGCTCATTCGTATAAAACAAATGGGAGAAAGTTTCTGGGACTTTAAAAATAAATCTGTAGGTTTAGACACATTTAAAAACCAATCGGCAAACTATGGTTGACATAGTGTCTTCCACTGGGATGAGTAATTTATCGATGGGTGTTTATGTTGATCGCTACTGATTACCGTTAGTGCGGTGAAGGCAGAGAAAATACTTAGCCCATAAAATAGGACTAAGTAGTAGGATTTTACTAAGCTGACCCTATTAAATGTCTTCAGTTTATAGAAAACGTATAGCTTATCGATTTATGTTGTTACACTTAGCAGTGTGTCAATAAATAAACAACAGTCTAAAGAAAATCATCGGACTCTCTGCAAGAAAACTAATTTCAGAGGACCCTTGGTTTTGAATCGTCCGGCTTATTCAATGTTGTCATTTATTTTTATTTTCATCACAGCTCAACTTTTTTACTAACTGTTACCACTGTCCATTCGTTACGTTTATAAATTAACAAATCATTAATTTTACACAAAGTTCAAGTAATAAACTGCTGATGGTTCGCTTAAGGAATGATAAGATTGCAAGTGCATTACAGAGCCCTAAAGTGTTAGATAAATATAGGTAGCTAAAATAGCTTTATCATGATCACAATATGGTGGTACTTAAAAAACAGTAGTTACCAGGTTCGGAATATTTTATGAGCTTCGCTAATTGCTAATTAAGCAAACTTATCAAAGTGACCATCTTGTACTTTCTTATCACATCATACTTCAGAATTCGCGGCCTATAAAGCAGCAGTCTTGTGTGAAAAAAGGCCAGTACTTGGTAATGACATATGATGACATATCTCGGTCGAATTTTTCTCTTGGCCACCTTATTGGTGGTCCTCGCTCAACAATCCGAAGCAGTTTGTGGCTATGAGGTAAGCGGTAGCTTTTGATTTGGTCTTAGTTATTATAATGTCCTTTGCAGTCGTGTCCCGCAACGAAATCAAACATGGTTAACATCCACTTGGTTCCTCACTCCCACAATGATGTGGGTTGGCTAAAGACTGTTGATCAGTCGTACTATGGGTACTTGAATAAAATTCATCATGCTGGTGTGCAATACATTTTGGATAATGTTGTCACTCAGCTACTGCAGGATCCCAATCGTCGCTTTATTCAGGTGGAGACGGCCTTCTTTGCCAAGTGGTGGAGTGAGCAGTCGGAGACCACGAAGAAGGTGGTCACTAAGTTGGTCAATGAAGGACGTTTTGAGTTCACCGGCGGTGCTTGGAGCATGAACGATGAGGCCGATGTCAATTACCAGGGTGTGATTGATCAGTTTACAGTGGGATTAAAGTGAGTAATGTGAGAGGTTCTTCTTTCGTAGTATTTAGTAGTAACTCACTTTGTAAGGTTCCTCAACGAGACGTTCGGAGCCTGTGCTCGTCCCCGAGTTGGCTGGCAGATCGATACCTTTGGTCACTCCCGTGAGCAAGCAGCAATATTCGCCCACATGGGCTACGACGGCCAATTCTTTTCAAGGATGGATCATAACGACAAGGACACCCGCATGAGTGACTTGACCATGGAGATGATTTGGGATGCTAGTGAATCGATGAGTGGAGTCAATCTCTTTAGTGGAATGTTGTATAACTTCTACTCTGATACTCCGGGCTTCTGCTTTGATATACTTTGCACTGATGAGCCCATTATCGATGGCGATAGCGAAGAAAACAATGTCGAAGAGAGGGTAGATCACTTCATTGCCTATGCCAAAAATATGTCGGAGGTGTACATCACTAACCACGTAATGGTTCCCATGGGTGGGGATTTCCAGTACGAGGATGCCAAAGTCAACTACAAGAACATGGACAAGTTGATCAAGTAAGAGGGGGTAAAGAGTTAAAAATCCCTTAATACTATTTCGCTTTACTTTAGGTATATTAACGAACGCCAGGCATCTGGATCGAAGTACAACATATTTTACTCCACGCCGAGCTGCTATCTGAATTCCCTGCACCAGAGCCTGGAGTCCTGGCCAAACAAAACCCAGGACTTTTTCCCCTATGCCCATGAGAAGAATAGTTTTTGGACAGGATTCTTTACCTCTCGACCCACTCAGAAACGGTTTGAGCGGGATGGGAATCACATGCTGCAGGTGGCCAAGCAGCTATCCGTACTAGCGAATCTAACAAGTGAACAGCACAACAATGATTTGGACTATCTGCGGCAGACTATGGGAGTAATGCAGCATCACGATGCCATCACGGGCACTGAAAAGCAGGCTGTGTCCGATGACTACGATCGAATGATGTACGACGCCATCGTTGGGGCATCTAACAATGCACGCGATGCCCTGCGGATTCTCACCAACATGCCCAACGGAGAGTTTGAGAGTTGCCTGAGGTTGAACATCAGCGAGTGTGCTTTTACCAAGGACGGTGCTGACAACGTGGTCGTGACCTTGTACAACCCACTGGCTCATAGCTCCAGCCAGTATGTTCGCATACCGGTGAAGGAGGAGAACTACCAAGTGACAGATGCCAAGGGAAAAACGGTTCCTTCAGAAGTGGTTCCAGTGGCCTGGCAGGTTTTGGCCTTGGAGTACCGACCCAATGACACGCAGCACGAGTTAGTTTTCAAGGCCACAGCGAATAAAATCGCCAATTACTACATCAAAAAGGTTGAGGGCAATCCGACTTCTGCCATCAAGAAGCTTAGCCAGCGGGAAATTGATAGTTCCGAGACTGTAGTAGAAAATTCAGTAAGTCTATTCGATTGTCTGGTTAACAAAATGGCTTATTCCTTTTATTATTTTTCATTCACAGCTCGTCAAACTAGTAATTGACAACCAAACAGGGCGCCTGAAGTCGGTTGAGATGAACGGAGTGTCTGAGAAAATTGTCCAGAACTTCGGCGTCTACAAGACTCACACTTCCTGTGCATATACTTTCCGCCAAGATGGGGATATTAAAGTTTTTGAAGATGACTTCGAATTCACAGTTTACGAAGGAGCTTTGGTCAAGGAAGTCCACCAGCGGGTGAACGATTGGATCTCGCAGGTGATTCGCATTTACGAGGATGTCAACCGAGTGGAGTTTGAATGGTTGGTAGGACCAATTCCCGTCGATGATCAACTGGGCAGTGAGTTTGTCACAAACTTTAAGAGTGGCATTTCATCAAAGGGAGTTTTCTACACCGATTCCAATGGCCGTGAGTTGATGAAACGCGAGATGAATAAGCGTGAGGACTTTGTTTCCGATCTGAGTCGCCAACCAGTGAGCGGTAACTTCTATCCAGTCACCTCCAGGATTGCTTTGCAAGATGAGACCAAGCGATTGGTTTTGCTGAATGATCGTTCCCAGGGTGGAGCCAGTTTGGAGGACGGTGCCTTGGAGATGCTCATTCATCGTCGCCATCTTTTCAACGATGGTGGTGGCGTGGGAGAAGCTCTGAACGAGACGCATTTTGGAAAAGGGTTAATAGCCCGAGGAAAATTATACCTGGTTCTTGATTCTGTGGAAGATGGAGATACCGTTCTGGAGCGTAAGGCGGAAAAGGAGCTCTTCCTTCCTTTTTGGAAGTTCTTCAGCAGGGCAACGGAAATTGGAAAGGCCACCACCAAAACGGTACTCGACTTTGATGACCTTCCCCAGTCGATTCATCTCCTCACCTTGGAGTCCTTCACTGAGAAGGAAATTTTACTACGATTCGAAAACTTCTTGGACAAATCCGAGGGACAAGTGACTAGCTTCAACATACGTGATATATTTGACAGCCTGGGCGGTTTGGCGATTAGGGAAACCACCCTGGATGGAAACATGCCACTGAGCGATATGAAGCGATTCAAGTTCCATGCCCAAGAATCCGGAAATAGGCATTCAGCCGTTGAGTTCTCTACGGCTCAGCATAGATCACTTGAAGCTGACAAGTCCGATGAAGCTTCCCTGTTTGCTGTAACACTATATCCCATGCAAATTCGCACATTTATTATTAAAACACAATAAGAAAAAGCAATAAAAATGAATGAGTTACGACTAAAATACTACGTTGTCATTTCTTGGGTTCATTCTCATTATCCGCCACTTCTGCATGTGTGGCTTTCACTTTTTTTTGAGATTAGAGCTCACTATATTCGTGAAAATCTCAAGTGGTTCCAAATCGTAAATGAGTCCTTATCTTTGAGTGGGCAATCGTCAATTAAAATCCATTTAAGCATTAGAGAATGAATGATAAGAACTGCAATTCAGTGCCGAATGCCTGATAAGACTATGAGTACAGTGTGATTATGTTAGCAACATTGAAGCAATGCATGTGGCCCAAATAAAACGCAAGGTACTTACCCTTTGAGACTCGTTGCTAATGCTTAAGTTTAAGTTAATTGGCTCTCTCGGCTAGTTCAAATTCAAAACATTCTGAAGTGGTGATTACTTATCAGCTAACCCCCCATTGAGATGTTTATAAAAGTGGGAAAGTTTTCTTATAAAGTCAGTTCTTGGTCTGGAGTCGGCTGTATTGCGAATTCTTGAAAATGGCCAACTTTAAGGCCTTGGCCATCTTGTTGGCCCTACTTGCCTTCTATATCATCCAATCTGAAGCTGTCTGCGGTTATGAGGTGGGTAGAAAACTTGCATCTTTAGGAAAGAAAATGTAATAATTTGTGCCTATTTCAGTCATGTCCTGAAACAAAGTCAAATATGATCAATATTCACTTGGTGCCCCACTCCCATGACGATTTGGGTTGGCTAAAAACGGTCGATCAGTACTATTACGGCAATAAGCACAACATTCAGCATGCCGGAGTGCAATATATATTCGATACCGTTGTTGCGGAACTGAGCAAGGACTCCCGTCGCCGATTTATTCAGGTGGAGACCGGTTTCTTCGCCAAGTGGTGGGAGGACCAGTCGGAAACTAAGAAGCAACTGGTCAAGAAGTTGGTGAACGAGGGGCGTCTGGAGTTCACTGGCGGCGCCTGGAGCATGAACGATGAAGCTGCCGTTAATTACCAGAGTGTCATCGATCAGTTCGCCATTGGTTTGAAGTGAGAACGGAGCTCTATCATCTCATTGCCATTTTATAATGATTTAACCACACCTTTAAGGTTCCTGAATGACAACTTTGGGGTTTGCGGTCGTCCACGTGTCGGCTGGCAGATCGATGCCTTTGGACACTCCAGGGAGCAGGCCTCTATGTTTGCCCAAATGGGTTTCGACGGCCAGTTCTTTGCACGCATGGATCAGAATGACAAGAACAAGCGAGTGGATAACCTGGGCCTCGAAATGATTTGGGATGCCAGCGAGACCCTGAAGGAACTAGACTTCTTCACCGGCATGCTCTACAATCACTACTCGGCACCTCCTGGCTTCTGTTTTGACTCCCTCTGCCAAGATGATCCCATAATCGATGGAAAGAGTTACGACAACAATGTCAAGTCCCGGGTGGATGATTTCATCAACTATGCCTCTAATCTGGCCGGTTATTATCGCTCCGATCACATAATGGTGCCCATGGGCGATGATTTCCAGTACGAAAATGCCTACATGAACTACAAGAACATGGACAAACTGATCAAGTAAGTAAATAATGATTATTTGGTATGATCGTATTTCTAAATATTTATTTTAAGGTATGTCAACGAACGCCAGGCCAGTGGCTCCAAGTACAATGTCGTCTATTCCACTGCAGGATGTTATCTGAATTCCCTGCACAAGAGTCTCCAAAGCTGGCCCAACAAGACCCAGGACTTCCTGCCCCACTCTCACGAGGCAAAGAGCTTCTGGACCGGCTTCTTCACCTCACGTCCCACCGTGAAGCGATTTGAGCGCGATGGCAACCACATGTTGCAGGTGGCCAAGCAATTGAGTGTGCTTGCCGATCTTTCAAGCGACAAGCAAACCAAGGACTTGGACTACCTACGTCAGATCATGGGAGTCATGCAACATCACGATGCCATCACGGGCACTGAGAAGCAGGAGGTGTCCAATGACTACGATCGCCTTTTGTACGATGCCATTTTGGGAGGCGCCAACACCGCCCGCGATGCCCTTCGCCTGCTCACCAACCAGCCAGAGGCAGAGTTTGCAAGTTGCCTAAAGCTGAATATAAGCGAGTGTGCCCTTACCAAAGAAAGTGCTGATAATATAATGGTGACTTTGTACAATCCACTGGCCCACACTTCTACGCAGTATGTTCGAGTGCCGGTGAAGGAGGAGAACTACCAGGTTACCGATGAGAAGGGTCGCGTGGTGGCTTCCGAATTGGTCCCAGTTCCCTGGCAAGTCCTCGCCCTGGAGTTCCGTAATAACGACACTCAGCATGAGTTGGTCTTCAAGGCTTCCGTTAACAAAATTGCCAGCTACTACATCAATAAGGTAGATAAGGAAGACCAGGCCACTCAAGCCAAAGAAGGAGAAGTGCCTATGCGATTCAAAAAGGTGCACACCTTAAAAACTGATACTGTGACCCACGATGACGGCGAAACGATTGTCCAAAATTCTGTAAGTCCTATAGCTTTAAGTTAAGGTAACCCATTCTTAAACATATTTTCCAGCTTATAAAACTGGTGATTGACAACAAGACAGGCCGGCTAAAGACAGTGGAAATGAACGGAGTTTCCGAAAACATTGAACAGACCTTTGGAATGTACAAGACCGCTCGGTCGTGTCATTACATTTTCCGTCAGGATGCGGACTTGGAAATTCTAGAAGATCCCTTCGAGTTCACCGTGTACGAAGGTGAATCCGTGAAGGAAGTTCATCAGCAGGTGAACGAGTGGATCTCTCAGGTAATTCGCATCTACGAGGGTGTCAACCGAGTGGAGTTGGAATGGCTTGTGGGTCCTGTTCCGATTGACGATGAGCTGGGCAAGGAGATAGTCACCGTGTTCCAGAGTGGAATCTCTTCCGACGGAGTCTTCTACACCGATTCGAATGGTCGTGAAATGATCAGGAGAGAGAAGGACAAGAGGGAGGACTTCAGTCCCGATTTGAGTGAGCAGCCCGTTAGTGGTAACTACTACCCAGTCACCTCGAGGATGGCTCTGCAGGATGATAGCAGGCGAATGGTCCTGCTCAACGATCGATCTCAGGGAGGAGCCAGCTTGGAAAGTGGTCGTTTGGAGATGATGCTGCATCGTCGGCACATTTTCGCCGATGGCTCAGGGGCTGCCGAAGCCATCAATGAACAACAGTTTGGCAAGGGATTAATCGCCCGCGGAAAACTGTATCTCTATCTCAACGCTATTGAAGATGGAGCCACTGCAGCCGAGCGAGTGGCAGAAAAAGAGATTCACCTGCCCTTCTGGAAGTTCTTCAGCAAAACCAGTAATATTCTACGGGAAGTTTCCACATCGTTGCCCGACTTTAATGACTTCCCCCAGTCGGTTCATCTACTCACCCTGGAGCCCTACTCCCAGAATGAAGTTTTGCTGCGATTGGAGAACTTTTTAGATCAAACCGAGGGCAACGTGGTTAGCTTCAGCCTTCGCCAGATCTTTGATGATCTTGGTGGGCTGGAGATTCGGGAAACCACCTTGGATGGCAATCTCCCACTTAGCGATATGAAGCGCCTGAAGTTCCATCACGATGGTTCTGGTCCTAATCCCTCAGTCCCGGAGTATTTTACCAGTCTGCACGAGCCGTTGGCAGTTGAAAAATCAGAGGATGCCTCGGCATTCAGTGTAACGTTAAAACCTATGCAAATTCGCACCTTCATCATTAAAAAGGAGCAAGTCTAAGTTCTAGAAAATATATGCATATCAAGCTTTAACCGCAAGGCAAATCATCTTTAGTTTTAATTTTGTTTTTAGCACTAGGTATGATATTTAATTAACCGACATTTAGATTCGGGCATGAATAATCCTTATATTTATTTCTAAAGCCAATGTGTTGTGGTAAAGCTACCCAGATAGACGAACCGCAATGATAATTACGGGTCGGAAATGTCGATTCGAGATTATCAGTATCAGCCGCTCCGCAGGCTTCTCATATTTACCGCTTACAATGCAGATACATTTACTGCATTGGCTTCCAAAACCCACCCAGCCCCCGTGAGCCTCACACCCACAGAAAACACCTCAAATCCCAGCCTGAGTCGGCATAAGTCCTTTGGTTATTTGGTGAACCCGTGGCTTCCGCTCTCCCCTCGTTTGCATTTTTGCTGTGAGCTTTCGGCGTTGTGCAATGCCTGGTCCACAAATATATATATATATATATATATATATATACACCGTATATAAGTGGAAATGATATCTATATGCGATAGCTCGTTGTTGTTGGTCTAATGCTGCTAATGCCTGGCACTCGAAAAAAGATTTGCGCCCAATACCCCTTAGTTGAGGCCCAGCCCACTAAATACTTTTGTGCCAACACCACACTCGCATTGCAGGAGGACTCTGGTCCTGGTCCTGGGCTTTTATTATTAAGTTCGCCACGGGAGACTTTAATCTTCCGTCTCCTGGTTGGGACAGCCGGCTCACACACAGCTACACCCTCGGCTCTACTCCATTTCACTTCGCTGCGATGCAAAACAATGAACTCCTGAATTCATGCCATATGTGTGTGCCGAGTCCTGGGTCCTGGGAGATGGGAAAAAATTATTTAATATTGCCCGTCTTAGGCGATGAGGCAAGGCAAGCTGAGGCGTTGTTTGGTACTAATCCTTGGCGAGCATTAGACACGGAATTTAATTTAGTTCCAGCTGCAGCCAGAAAAAGCACAGAGAGCCAAAATATCAACGAAATTGAAAAAGAAATCTTAAGATATATTGGTATACAAATTGTAGAGTTATCAAGTGTATTCGAAAATGCTGATTGAAACAAGCTTAGTCCCATTTGGGGTTTCTATATTAACTGGCCAATTAAAATTTTATTTATTTAATCAATAATAACATACAATTATTTCTGGCATAAATTTAAATTTGTACTCTAAAATGTCTTTTTTGGCTTTATTAAAGTTAAACTTTAAACTTTAATTAATCATAGAAAATATAAGTATTAAATAGTTTTGTATTTTTGTATTATATTTTTATCGTTTATAACTTAACAAACATGGACCTGATTTTTGTTCACTGTACAGGACTTGCCACAGTGTGGCCTGGCATATGTGTACCAAGTACCCCATGCTGGCTGTCAAACTCTACTTTGCCGACTTCCGGTCGAGTTGGCGTTTTTAATTCAAATGAAACCCATACAAGAGGCCACCCACCACCCACTCGCCTCCTGTTTACTCGCTGAGCTGGACAGATAATCCAACTTTGATTAAGTAATTTCAGCGTTGGGGAGCGTAATAAGTTGGGTGTTTAAATCCAAGTCTGAGTCGTTTATTCCCATGTGTGAGCGTGGTGAAGCCAACAAAACAAAAACGAAAGTCACAATAAAAGCAACAAAAATGATTAGCACAATGCTTAATAATACAGCATATTTCTGTGGTTTAGGGATATGTGTTTTAGGACTTTTGTTAAAGGGAGTAATTTCTTTGACATCTGCATTATAACGAAAAAACTGTTCACCTAATTGATGTGGCTATAAATGTTTGTGTAGAATAATTGAATTTATATTACAAATTTTGGTTTGAACTATTTCACGTGAACGATATATTAACAACATTTCAGACTTTTAACAGCTCGTTTTTGCACACAGTTTTATTTTTAATATTTCAGAATTTCAAACATAATTTAAAAAATACTAAAATCACTAGACGGGTTGATCTAGCCGTGTATATTTTTTCTATTTATTTATTTATTTTAAATTGGCCTAAAAGTCAATCACTTGAGTAAAATAAAAACTCAACTTTTTAGTCTACATTCCATTATGATGATTATACTAGGTCATATTAGGACAAAGGGAGAGATCGGAAATAAAAACAATTGGCAGCCAATTCTAATGAATATTCTAACATTCAGCTGATAAGACTATTTCGTATGAAAAAAGGCCTTATCTCCCAGCTATGACGGAGGAAAAAATCCCAGAGATTGAATGTGTTATTGCCTGCCCGCCTATAAAAAGGTGCCGTTAGTGCAATAGATTTGCAGTCTACATTCTCAAGTGTCGTGTAACAGTTAAGCTTTTGACAAAATGCATTACCTTATAGTACTCATCTTGTTTGGCGTGTACTGGAACAATGTCTATGCAAGAGGACTGGTGAGCTTAATCCGAAAATCTTTTTGGATTGATTTATTCCACTTAAATCCTTGACAGGACCAATCCGAATCCTACGACACCGAGCAAAGGTTGGACACCTTGGAAGATCGTGTACTCCGCTTAGAAACAGAGATGGGAGTTCATCAAGATGAAGAAACTTTAAACCGAATCGATCTCGAGCCAAGTTTCTATTCAATTGACACTTCGAATACAAAAGTGGGACGTCCGGTAGAAACGAACCATTTTAATGAACAACTCGAAAAATTGGAACAAACATTTAAGGAGGAGTTCGGAGATCAGCTTGCGGAACTATCTTCCAAGTATGAGATCCTTTGGGAAAAATTCTCTAAAATTGAGAAGCAAGTTGAGGAACAGCAAAGTGAAGGCAAGAATTCAGAATTTTTGAAAGGGTTAGAGCAATCTGAAAATCCGACTACTACTGATAGTGAGGAATCGGAAACAAAGTCGGATGAGACCATTTATGACAATGATCTGGAGTTAATGAAAAACCTAAAAAATCTAGAGAATGAATCCGGAACAAAGATGGCTAAGAATTTTAAACAAATTGGGGAAAAGTATTACCACATTGAAAACAATGTTAAGCTAACTTGGGTGGAGGCACGTGATAAATGTAGCGAATGGGGAGCTCATCTGGTTAGTCTTAAAAATGAGGAGGAATGGGGCGTTATCACAGAACACTTAAGTCCGGAAAAAAACTATTGGGTAGATGTCAATGACTTGGTCAAAGAGGGGGAATATATATCTGACACTAACTCGGAAAAAGCAGCCTTCCTGAAATGGGATTATCGAGAACCAAATAATCTCCTTACAACAGTTATGCGGGAAGATTGCGTGGAATTGCGGTCAGACTATTATCACTATATGAACGACATAAACTGTTGGCAAGAAAACAATTTCATATGTGAAAGACCCAAACTTTCCATTTTTGATGGGTATTTTGAAATTGCTTAATTTGCTATAATTGTCTAATATAAAATGTAAATAAAAAATCGATGTATAAAGGTATAAAATTATAATATATGCATGTATTACTTATTTATGGGAGATACATTTTTATACGAATTTTTTAAATTTTTTTAAAGTGAAAATTGGCCTTAAATTGTGAATCAAAGTTGTTTTTAGATTTCTCGTTGTTCAACATTGCGTTGTATTCTATTATAATCAAAACATATCCTTATCCCCTCCCCTTTCCAAACAGCACTCCCCCTCATTAGTTTTCTTATCTGTTCCTCTCTCGGCCGTCGTTCTCTTAGCATCCGCTCTCTGGGTTTCGCTCTCTCGGCTGGCTCTCACAAAATGCAACGCAATAGCTTTAAAAATGTATAATATATTCGTAAAAAATACTTTAAAAAATTTTAAAAACTTGAAAAATTAAACAAAAGCATTTGGGCCATATATTAACTAATGATAAAAAAAATCATCTTGATCGGAGCAGCGCCCAAATTATGGGGGATATCGAAATTTTTTTTAGATTTCCAATTAGGCATAGCTCTTATGAATTTGGGCTGTTGTCGTATACCCTTAAAAAAAGGGGCCTTTAACCATATTACAATATGGTCAAAGGGGGCCTTAGACCATATTACAATATGGTCAAAGGGGCCTTAGAACATATTACAATAAGGTCAAAGGGCGCCTTAGAACATATTACAATATAGTCAAAGAGCGCCTTAGACCATATAACAAATTACAATATGGTCCAAAGGCGCCCTTTGACCATATTGCAATATGTTGCAATATGCAATTGTTTAGCTATGCGCTTTTCAGAAACCAACTTTAAGCTTAAACACAGCTCAAAGGGAACTCGAATCAGTACCCATTCGAATTGGTCTAAACGAGTCGGATGAAAATAAAAAACAAAGGACAAATGGTAAACTAAGCGGCTAAACAAATATCGTCATCGAGCATAAATCCTCTCGCCAAAGCGCTCACTCGACAACTCAATAATACGAGTACAACAGCGGCGAAAAAAAACAATCCAAAGTGTGCTTTTTGGCACTTCAAATACAGGGAACTGCAGTCGGCTTATAGACAATCGACTGGTCGTCCCCCCGGAAAATCCATTGGACCTAAGGCCCCAGCGGTAAATTGTGGGCAAGTTAATGGTTGTGTGTCCCTATGTGTGTCATTTTAATCAACGGAAGCATGCATCGGATTATCCGACAGCTAAACAACACCCCGGTGCCAATGAATGGAGAAGCGTTTCGTTTTGACAATTGTCACTACGATGCTAAACTGGGCCCGCTCCATATTCTACCCTCCCTCTTTGCGACAATTAAATGCGCAGTGAAGCTCAAGCCTACTTAGGGTCTATAAAACAGAGCACACATGGTGAATATAAGAGTACGTTCACTGGGAGAAAATTAGTATGTTTACTATTTTCCCCTTCCTAAGCGTTAAATGTAAAATCTTTAAGTATTCTCTTCACATCTTGCTAAACAGAAATATTCACTTCGAAAGGTACAATTTTTTAAAGCAAGACCAAAAATCAGATTTTGATTTATGATACAATATTTTCGATACAATTTGGTTTTATTTTAAAATTTCTACGGCGTTTACTTCATTTTATTAATACTTTCTTGCCATACAAATTAGAATTTATATAAATGATGTATTTTATATTTTTTTAAGCCTATACGAGACTTTAATACTTTAAAATTTTGTCATAAATTTTAGAAAATATTTTTTTTAAGTGTAAGAGATGTGTTTTCCAAGCGCTTGCGAATTTATTGAACCGCAACAAATGTCATTGATGTCATCATCAACAGCATCATCTGCCACTGCAGCTCGCGATGATCATCAAAGGCATTATGAAAATGCGACATCGACAACCGTATCCGAATATTTTTATTAGCAACAAGTTTTTAATATCGCAGCGGGACCTCACATCCATGGAGGCAGAGGTAGCAGTAGAGAGTTCGGTAGAATGCTTCAAACTTTTAACAATAGCGCCCTAGTCTATCTATATCTCAACTCGCGGCCTTCCCCCGCGCTGCCTTCCACGACGAGCATCCCTTAGTGAGCCCAGATTTTGTAAGAATTTAATATGCGCCACGTATTTTGATGTCGAGGATGTGTTTCGGTTTATTCGTACTCGTCCTTCCTTTTTTGCGCAGTTCCTTGAATCATTCACACGTTGAGTAGAAGAGAATATTCCCAGATAGATGGGGTAAAAAAAAAAGTTTATGCATTTTAAAGAAGACAAAACTAATTATGATTGATGCTTATATAAACAAAAATATTATTTATAATAGAATATATTTAAATTGGAAAAAATTAATTTAATTATTATTATATTTAAAAAATATATAATAAAATAGTATAAAATATTAAAGTATAGAAAAACACTCTAACATCTATATTGCTGATAATGCACATGACAAATAACTGCAGTCCCGCCTAATCTTTCGAAAATGTCGACGCTTTCTTCATTACATCATAACGATTATGAAATAAATACTTCCGCTCCTTTGAGAAGTCTCCCGAGTTCGAGGAGTGCGGGGTGAGAAATTCCGCTCCTCATCTCGCTCGTTCTGTGATTTTCCATAGAGGAGAAATAAATCAACTGCATGTCCTGTTCCTGGCGATTGTCGGGAGTCCTCGTTCCTTCTCCCTCTTCATGAGAATCGTGTATTTATTGTTGCGTTTTTAAGTTTGGAATTTTTAATTTATTGCGCATCCTTCATTGTTGAAAGTTATAATTCTTGCATCTTCGGAGACGGGGTGGGGCCTGCTTAAGGAATAAAATATATTTGCCAGCGAGTCTCGAAAATTATGATGTATGAGCAATAAATAATCCGAAATAAATAAATTATCGCCAGAGGTTTTTCGGGCAGGGGCAGGACGGCCCGAGTGGCGCAACTAATGCTGGATTTCGTTCCGTTCAGGATGGAATTTTTTTTTTCCACTCGGATTTCTATGATTTGTTGGTGGACCCGTCTGTCTGTGTGGAAGAGTGTTTTCCTGGCGGTTTTACACATTTACAAGGGTGCTAATGCTAGTTTTGTGCACTTTTTCTCCGGTTTTGTGTGTGAGTTCCTATTCCTGCTCCTTGGCAATCCTTTGGCTGGTTGGCCATAAATCAAGCCTTGATTTGGCGCCTCGCATGTGTCCGGGCATGTCCTTTGTCTATTTGCCTAGCACACGGCATCCCTTTGTTTAAATGCGCCAAATATACTCGTCCTTGTCGACGTTGACCCTCCTGCCAACTACCATTTTCGTTGCCTTTTTTTCCTCGCTCCTTTTTGTTTTAGCCCAGGGTTAACCCTTTTAACCCTTGGCAAGCGACTCCTCTTTGGTTAACCACGGACAGTGCTGGATGACATTTTCCTAGAACATATTGCCACGACACTGAGGTCAACCTTTTTCATGTTCATTGGCTTTGCCACTCGCAGAATGCGAATTCGCCTTGGCTCGACAGTTTTTGGTTATGGAAATTGTTATGTTCTTTTTCCTCTAATTAAGACTCATTTGCCAAGTAACGGCAGTAACTTTTATGACTGGATTTGTATGGATTTTTAATCATGTATGGGCGAATGGTAATCAACGTTAAAGAAAGTGATTTCGTTTTTTTAATATTCTACTTATTCACATCAAAAATAGCTGAAGTAGTTTATCTATGATCGTCAATTTTTGAATTATATTTTATACTTTTTTACATAATTAAATTTTAAAGTTCCCCATATAAATAATTATTAGATAGTTCATGCAAATACAATAATTAGTTTTGTAGAATAAAAGCATTTTTGTGGTGTCTACATTACAAAGTAAATATTTTTAGCCGTAAATTTCTATAATTATTCCTAAGGACAATTTAGTTTAAAGTAAAGATCAAAACAAAATCAGTTTGTAAAGTTTAAATATCCTCACAAATTCTTGGTTAGATCTTCTTTAATCTCTTTGAATTGATTGCACTAGACTAGGGAAATATTTCTTAGTTTTGTAAATTACTCTAACAATAAATATATCTCAAGAAGTTTGGCAATAAGCCACGGTACATCTGCCCCATTGGCTTGACCTCGTACCGCTCATTGCAAAGGGGCAGCGGCGGGGTCAGAGGCGCTGCCAGGGGCATGGACGCGGCCATATAGAGGCCCCGAGGGTAGGGGCAGCATTTTGCCGTAACTGTCTTTGTCGCAATGTCGTAAATAAAGTCGGGGCAGGCATCCTCGCCGAACATTGGAATTTATGCGCGTTGATTTATTTGCTGTTAGCGATTTATTGCTGCCGCAGCCGCATCCCATCGTCCGGAGGAAAGAATGGCGAGGAGGTGAGCGGGGAGAATAGGGAATTGGTGACGTGACTGCGGACGTCGCCAGGAGCAGGACACACGTATTGGGCATGTCCTGGTTTCGGCTCGGATCCTGTGCGCCGCTCGTTATTAAGTTTTTAATTTATGGCCATGTGAATGCAATGGGATGCAGATCCCAACAAGGATCTTCCCGGCTCCCGTTGCTTCGCTTATTTTATTCCCGTCGTATTTCGCAAAAATTATATATTTTAATTGAGCGTGCCGCCCAAAAACCACCGACCATCCGCCGCCCCATCAGTCTCCCAGCACCGCATACCCCTCTAATCCCCAGCGGCTGTCAAATAAACGCCCTGACAGTTTGCCGCTGACAGGCACATCAACGACAACAAAAATATTGAAATTATTATGACTTTGTCTCCGCCAGATTCTGGTTAAATAGGAATTAAGAGGAAAGCTCGACAACTTTCTACCCATTAAAAAAATTTTTAAATCACCTATAGGTTGGCATTTACTATTAACTGTAAGTTCAAAATATTCCAAATATTTGATATTTTCAACGATATTTTTAAATATATTTGTATTATACAATATGACAATACCATACACTTTTGGGGTTTTCCTATTTACGTTTTTTTCGTCCGTATGTTAAATTTTAACTAATTAGAAAAACATTCAAAAGTATTTCCGACCGTTCAAGAGGGGATAGAGTAGAGTTAAAATTCCTTAAAATATATCATAGAAAAAAAGAAAAAACCTGTTCAT